CAGAAAGAGTTGGTAACCCCTTCAAATGATGATTGCTCCCCAAGATTCTGGATGGAGTGACGGCAGATCCTGAGATCAAAAGCGATGTGACTCACGCTGGCTTCATCGTTGTGAGCCATCCTCTAGGTGATTGCCCCAATCCTCTGAGTGTGCACAGTTCTTGAACTTCCACTTTTCGCAATCCCAGAGACGTGCTTGAACCTTGAGAGCACCGAACATGTTTCAAAGAGTTGAAGAGGGAATACCGAGTCGCTTTCCGAAGTTGCAATTTCAGAGACCGTCATTGGGCAGCCTCTTGGTAATGGGTCGATGCAAAAAAATCTTCATGGCGAGAGTTCAGATGAACTTTGGACCAAACAACTTATGGTGCTTCTTACATAGTTTCAAAGCTTTCGAAGAGTTTCGAAACACTCTGAAAATACTTCACGGCTCAGTGCCAGCAAGCCGCGTCCTATACTTTTCGGCCACCCTGTATAAACTTTGAAGAACGGCACTAGTACGGTGAATCATGTTCCCACTGTCTGATTACTGACTATATTTCTTTCTGCACCACATTTGCACACCTATACCTTTTTCATCGAATTCAGGATTGCAGTGTCCGCGTGTCCGCTGATGTTGAATTCTAGTGTTCAAGGTTCCCAGAAATAGTGAACAATTGAACCCTTTGGAGCGTTAAGCATTGGTTCATATTTTTTGGGTGTGCGCCACGCATAACAACCAGGGTTAACCAAGTCTGACCAAGTCGACGGGGAGGTTTCTTTGGGAGAAATGGCTTTCTGTTCATGGACGATAGAAGAAGAATTTTCCGAGAGTGTCATAATTTGTGAGGCTTAGAGAAAGTTTTGGAATTTTGAAATTTTTGCCGCTCCAACAACTGTATGAACTATAGAACTGCCTGAGTGGGGTTCTTGATTAGTCTTGCATGTCGGCAGGTGTCAGACTTCGTAAATTTAGGCACTTGCTAGCGAATCGAGGGCGGGAAGGCGGGGGGGGGAGATGGTTGGTGCGAACGTCGCACCAGCGGGTCGAACAATGCGCCAGCTATTCGGCAATTTTGAAAGTGACGGAAGAGCCTCTCGTTTACACGTTCTCGCCACTTTCCCGGGCTTTCATGCCCTCTCGCTCTCTCTCATGCCTTCAGCAGCCCCGGAAAAGTGCGAACGAGAGGGTCTCCCATCTTACCAGACACAGCCATGTCGCTGGTACATGGCTCAATCCGTTGTGCATTTTTCTATCCACTGGTACACAGTTTGCACCGCTGGTGCAACGCTGTTACCCCGCGATTCGCTAGCGTCACTGGCGTTAATGTCGAAAGATCAAAGTGCGAAAACAGTCACGGTAGCATTTAGGAATGCCCAAGAGGAACTAGATAGATTCATCTAGCTGCAGTATTCTTTGCACTATTTCAGCAACAGTATTCTTTTTAGTGCCGAACAGCTGATTGAGCAGAAAGAGCATGAGCACAGGGAGCTCATGAGAAAGTTGGCTATACAAGAAGCGAAAGCACTCGAGCGACTCGATGAAATCGTGGCCACAATCCATTCCGACAGCCCGCCAGTCAGATCAACATCAAGATAGACACGGCAGTTAACTGGTGCGTGTTCGTCGTTCACAGCTCATGAGCGTCGTTGGCCAATGAAATCGTAAGGTCGCGTTCATAGTTCGCGACTCCGGATACTACGCATTAATGAAACGATATGTATTGATAGGGAGATTAGGATAACAGTAGATAAGGGCAGCCCGCTGAAAGACTAGATAAGTTTGAATTGAAATCGCTGGAGAGTGTAGATTACTATGTTAGGAGAGTGGGGTGCTATTGCATTAGTAAAGCAGGATGGTAGTATATTACGAAATCACATTACAATGACTAGATACCTATTGATCGATTTGAGGGAAGGCGCCTAATATGGTAACCTACGATTCTGATCAATACGTGTCTAATCTTTTCGGCTGAATATTCTAATATATTGGTATCCTCTTATCCTGCCGCATTGTCTCCAAATCTCCCAAGTCGTGAAGTATGAACGCGGCCTGAACGTTCCTTTATCTCTTCCACCTCGTTTTCCATTAGGTTAGGGCACTCTGATTTTACTCCTTTCTTGTAACTTCACACTAGTCATAATCATAAAGCATGTTTTATGATAATGTGAAACAAATATATCTCATGATATTCATCAGTATTACCTATCTACATCTCCATGCTGTTATCATATGCTGTTTTGGTTTTTCAAATTTTTAACTGTTCACTAGTTAGCAAATTGCTTCATTTCACCTTTACTGGGTTGTTTCCCATCGAACCTATTATTTATTAGACATCGAAAAGTCATATTTTGTAGAGAAGTTCCTCGAGGCGTGAGATATTTTTTCTATAACCTGCTTGTACTACGGCGTTTTCGTATATCAGCGGATCGCCACGTACTCCTCCCGTTTGGGATTGAATCATACATGAGCTTGCCGATTTTTACGGCTGTATAAATGATGCTGGCGGCACGCCTGGCGAGGTGCCAGTTCCATGTGCTGGTCTTGTTTTGTATGTTATCATAGCCTCGCGGAAGGCACCATAGTTTTCTGTTTCATCTACTTCGTGAAGTGAAGTGTTCTCTACTTGTTCAAGCCTTTCTGACGCACTCTCACAAGGTCAAATCACATCGGCAGTTTACAAAAGCTATCTATTTTTTTCTGTAATCAATGTAATGTGTATATAGATCAACCTGCTAACGATTGTATTATACTATATGCATAATTATTTTTTCTCCCAAATAAATTTTCGTTCAACAATGTCCATCACATGAAATCGTCACCAATTTTACCACATTCCACACGAATTCTTCTGCGCCATCCGATGCATTGTTGATCAAATTCATCGACAATATTTCTGCCCTTGACGAGCTGTTCCTCTTCGCCTCAGCCAGTCCATGACGTGAGCGCGATGTTGCGCCGTAATGGTTGGCATACACGTTCACTCAAAGACAAACCTCGGGATTAGCCCGACTTGTGGAAAGGATACCGCGAGGGAAATTGTAAGGTCCTACCTACCTAGATCACTCCAGCTTCGTCGCAAAAATTGCGCGGTTAGGGCGCTAATCCTTACGGGCCTGCAACCATCGACCCCCGTTGCAACGCTTCCCACCCACCTCGATGTAGAGATCAGCGTGCTCTCTCGAACGGCGTGATCTCTCGCGTGTTTTGTCTTCTTTGATCGCCCTGTCTCGCCATCGTTCCACATCGACCTTTCCAAGGCCTTAATTTCAGCGATCCCAAAGATTTCTCTAGCTTTCTCTTCACTTTCAGCCGTCCCGCCGCTCAGTCATCACTACGAAGCGCACTTATCTCCAGTTTTATCCCGGAGCTTGTCTTCAGAATACAAACCACCATTCGAACCTTTGATGACCTGTTCCAATTCGTCTCAGCCAGTCCCATGACTACCCCTTGATCCACCCTTTATTTTTAGCATAGACCCTACAGGATTTGGCAGAATTAACGCCAGGGAGGCGAACAAGACGCGTTAATTTTCAGCAGATCATGTAGTCTGAGTGTTCGCTGTCGTATCTCGGGCACCCTTGGGCCGATGTCATAGTTTGCGAATCGAGCGAATCGCTGCATCCGAGCGAGCGAACGTTGCACCAGCGAATCGAACTTTGCACCAGCGAGTCGAACGATGTACCAGCGAGTCGAACTATGTACCAGCGACTCAATAGTGGCGGGACCCAACGTCCAAAGGAAGTCCCGCCACTTTCAAACAGGGTCCACTGTCACGTGACACTGTTTGAAAGTGGCGGGCTTCCTTTGAACGTTGGGTCCCGCCACTATTGAGTCGCTGGTACATCGTTCGACTCGCTGGTACATAGTTCGATTCGCTGGTGCAACGTCGATTCGCTGGTGATTCGCTGGCGCAACGCTCGGATCCAGCGATTCGCTAGCGAATCGCTCGATTCGCAAACTATGACATCGGCCTTAGGAAGGTGAGATTGATCCGCACTGCTGCATAGCTCTGCTTCTGATGTGTGAGATAACTAGCATTAGCTCGGAGTTACAATATGGAGTTAGTAAACAGAATTGTGCGGTCTTCACTGCGATAGCTTAGTGAGTGGGAGGGGGGGGGGTGAGTGATGCAGGTGACCGGCAGCATTCAACTGTTAAGTACATAATTGCTGCGACATCGGCTTCACTTTTACACAAACGTGAAAGGATTAGGTAATCATCTGTGTTTCACAGGAACAACTCTATGCCTTGTTTAGCTTTAATTCTATTATGACAAGGAAACGGGAAAACGGAAGTGGGGGAACGTACAGAATGCTGAGATGATCCTTTGTGTGTAAAGAAATGCGGAACAAACAACAATGGTATAGCAATGGATTACGCATTGAAAATCTCTTCAGTTCTCACTGTACCGGGAACACGCGTTTCTTTATTAAGTCACAACACTAATTGCACTTTCGCTTAATGACAAATATGCATCTTATTTGCCCTGTCAGTACTATATCACGCGCCTTTCTTCTTCGCCAAGGCTTGCACAGCACCCCAATTACTGACGCACTCGTCGATCGTTTCGAAATCGTTCGCTTTACGGACTTTTCCTGAAGCAAGAAAAACGAGCTAAAACGGAATCGTGAAGAACCAGTCAAAAGTTGAAGATCGTGCTCAATTCTATCGTCTTTAAAGAGTACTAGAAGAGTACTTGGAGAGTAGAGGATCAGCTAAATAAGAGATTGAAAAATAAATCAGTTAAGTTCTCGAATGATACCACTCCCAACTATTCTTCCAATGACCGTCTTTGATTTTCGAAAAATAAATGCGAAACTCACCCATGCCTGCTGGAGCGGATTGCTTTGGTGGTGGCGGTGGTGGTGGAGGCTTCGGGGGCGGCTGATTCCTACAAAAGTCAAAAGTAATTCTTTGTCATTGACCACTCATCTAGATCTTGACGACTCTGAACTGCTCATCGGATTGTGAATGAATTGGCAAGGAACTCGATTCAACCAAACGTTTCTATTCCAGATAAATGGCGGATTCCTGCTGAGCGATGAGGAATACAACAAATAGTGGCTCGGGCATTTCGTGGCTGTGTAAACCATAGAAGAAACAGATTAATTAAATAAGTATTTCCGTAACAAGAAAGCCTCAGGATTGCATCTGGGTAGAATCCAGCGCGTTGTTGAAAGAAGCTGGTAGACCGACTGCCTAATCCGTTAACCGTAGCTAGAACCGAGGAGAAGCCCCACAGGTTTGATAAAAGGAGTCATGAGAAGGCGGCCCAAGAAAGGAAACTCGTTAGAAAGGGAACTGGAGAGACACCATTTTACTTCCAGTAACAGAAAAAAAGAAACGGATTGGTTCCTGATGCCCCATTCACGCTCAACGGAACGAACATCACCGAATGCTCCAGCTACGTGTACCTAGGTCGGGAAATCAATATGATGAACGATCTAGCTCCAGAGCTGAGCAGGAGGAAACGAGCGGCATGGGGAGCGTTTAAGAACATCGAGGGAGTAGTGAAGAAGACGAAGAACATCTCCATGCCTCTGCAGTCCTTCCTGCGGTGGCAGCTGGAGGGGAGTGGAGGGAGGGGAGAGGGTTTAAGGAGGGTAGGCGGAAAACCATATCCCAACAGGCCTAGGATGCAATTAGCTTTCGGTAGGTGATTTTAGGCCGTAAAGCGTACGCTGTGAAAGAAGGTCCCGGCGGTTGGCGGGGGACCAACCTGGTCAATGATAACGTCGCCCGGAAGTGGTGCGCAGAACCCCGCCCGAGTTCTGTGGTCAGTATGCGAGGGCTACCGAGGAGTGAACGGCCTCGGCCAAAGAAGCTAGTTCGAATTGGGACTCTGAACGTAGGATCGCTAACTGGGAAGTCCCGAGAGGTTGCTGATCTGATGACGCGCAGGAATATCCAAGTCCTATGCCTTCAGGAGACGCGATGGAAAGGTGCTAAGGCCAGGGAAATCGGGGAAGGTGTCAAACTCTACTACAATGGAAAAGACACAAGCGGAACAGCGTGGCCATAGCGGTACCGGAGAGGAATAGGAGTTAGAAACGCTGAGGGAGAGAGGGTCCTGGACCTGGCTATCCCACGATCTGGCAATCTGCAGCACGTTCTTCGCGAAAAGGGAGACTCAGAAGGTAACCTACAGCAGTGGAGGGACGAAATCGACCATGTGCTGGTAAGAAGATCATCCCTCAGAAACTGTGAAGGATATCAAGGTACTCCCTGGCGAAGACTGGCTCCCAGCACAGGCCCCTCCTGGCAGACATTGCCATAGACCTCCCCAAGAAGACAAGGGTAAGAACCGAGAGGAGAATCCGGTGGTGGAAGTTGCACCAAGCAGAGAAGATGACCTCAAACGAAGGATAATGGAAGTTGGTCTCCCAGATCCTGAGGGACCAGTGCAGCAGACTTGGGGCAATGCAGCTGAGATCATCCTACGATGCGCCAAGGAGGTACTGGGCGAGACGCGAGGTGGATTCAGAGGAGACAAGGCAGCGTGGTTCTGGAACGAGGAGGTCCAGCGAGTCGTGAAACAGAAGAAGGAAGCATACAAGCGCTGGCAGAAGACCCGGAGCCCGAGGACCTCGCTGCCTACAAGAGTTGCAAGAGGCTCGCTAAGGCTGCCGTCGCCAAGGCGAAGAACACGGAGAATGGACGCCTTGTACGAGAAGTTGGAAAGCGCAGAGAAGTTCGTCTTCAGACTGGCCAAAGCCCGGCATCGGGCTACTCAAGAGGGTGGTGAAGAGCGTGAAGAGCAACAACGGCGCCATCCTGAGAAAGCCAGCCGAAGTCCGGAGGAGGTGGGAAGAGTACTTCAGGGTCTTCTGAACGAGGAGTTCCCCCACAAGAACAACTCACGGGCAGAGGCCACAGCTGGTCCCATCGCACTCTGGACAGAGGATGAGGTTCGGTGTGCACTTGGGAAGATGAAGGTTGGAAAGGCAGTTGGTCCGGATGGAGTACCCATAGAGGCTTGGAAGGCGCTTGGAGAGCACGGGGTAAGGTGGCTCACCCGCTTCCTGAACACGGTAACTGCCGAAGGAAGGATGCCGGATGCCTGGAGAACAAGTACTATCGTCCCCATCTTCAAGCAGAAGGGTGACGCGATGGACTGCTCCAACTACCGCGGTATCAAGTTGACTGCGCATACCATGAAGTTGTACGAGCGACTGGTCGACTCGAAACTGCGGGAGCTGGTCCTCTCCCAGGAACAGTTCGGGTTCATGCCCGAAAGGTCTACAACGGATGCCATCTTCATCGCAAGACAGTTGTCGGGATTAATTTGAAATGTCGCTTTCTTTTCTATCGCAATTTCTATGACACATACAACCTCCTGCAACGAGGAAGCACTTATTTGAGAGATCGTCTCGAGGATAGATTCCTCTTCAATATTTGCGAAATAATGCTCATATTGGACGACCTCATAGAGATCTTCAGGTTTTTCTTGCATAGGCGTTTAATAAGAGGGTAATGAGAGAGTACTCATGTACTATAATAAGAGGTGTTAAGAGGGTATTCATGTGCATTCCGTAATCTTCTATAAATTCGTGAATTTCTTGAAGCTCCATGAATGAACAAGGCTTTTCGTGGAACATCACCCCACTGCATCCTCAACGTGAAGTTCTAAACCCACCTTCCGTTTTGGCGAATTTTCGATGATGGTCACCATAAAACCGACTACGTCTAATAGCAGAACAACTTACTTCTGTAGCATGGCTTGGGCTGCTCCCCAGTTGCTAACAACTTCGTTTACTGTCTCGTTATCATCTGCTGCTCGGAACCCCTCTGAATGTAACGGTGATCAGAAGGTATAACAAAAAGTCTCTTAACGCCTTCAAATCATTATACTTGGAGGGCCTTTCGATTTTTGTGGTTGCGGTGGTGGTGGTGGTGGAGCTGGCTTTGCTGAAAAAATGAATGTTGGGATTCAAAAACACAGCAAACGAGTGCTCAAGAACGGGCGAAAACCCTCTCATTCGCCGTACAAACTACTACACGTCCTGTTAATTCATACTTACGTGGTACATTCGCGATTCCTTCCTTCCTGCAAATACATGATCTTGATGCATCAACTGTAGGAAGTGTTTCTAATTTCGGTCCAAACGGAAGTTTCAAAGTTTCATAGTTAGAAATATTGAAAAAGCCATGTCTCATTGATTACTAGTGTAAGGTCGGACTCATGGTGGCTGATTAAGGCGTGCAAATGATTAAAGGAATCTTCCACGGACCATGGACCAGTGGGCGGGACCGGAAGTGGTTTTGCGACGGATCCACGTTCATGGGAAGGTTTGAAGTGAATCCTGTTCACGTTCGTGCGTTCGACACGTGGATCCGTACCTACCATGCATTTCGTCACAAAAACTTCCGGTCCCGCCCACTGGTCCATGGTCCGTGGAAGATTCCTTTAATCATTTGCACGCCTTAATCAGCCACCATGAGTCCGACCTTACACTAGTAATCAATGAGACATGGCTTTTTCAATATTTCTAACTATGAAACTTTGAAACTTCCGTTTGGACCGAAATTAGAAACACTTCCTACAGCTGATGCATCAAGATCATGTATTTGCAGGAAGGAAGGAAT